AAAATTAGAGAATAGTAAGTATGTTAAAATATTATAAAAATATAAATCTTAAATTATCTTACAACTTATAGTACTAGTTATATATAAAAATATATTAAATATCTTTAATAGTAGTAAAGCTAATCTACTTGCTATATTAAATAAAAATAATAGTTTTTTTAATTTTAATATATATATAAATATTCTAGTACACTAGCTACTTATATAAAATAAGATTATATAAAAATATTAATATATATTAAGCGCGGTTTATTTTTAAAAATCTATAAGATTTATTTTACTTATTTACTAATTTAATTAAAATAGTACCATAGCTAATAGTCTAAAAGATTTTATTAATAGTAGTTTTGGCCGTACATACGCAGGAAATAAAAAATATAAAATAATATTTTAAATAAATTATTATTTTAATAATCCTAGAGTCAAGTATCCAGTTATATAAGTAATTTAGATATTAATTTTTTTAAACTATAATAATAATATTAAAGTAAATTAATATAATACAGATATTAAGAAAGTTAAAATTAATATTAATTATATTAGCTGACAGTGTTCCGGATAATAGTATAAATAAAATAAATATAATAATTATATTAGCTTAAGTGTTTATAGTTATTTTTTTATTTAGGTTTAATGAGTACTTAGAAAATAATTTCCGTAATATTTATAAAAAATATATTATATAATATTCTTATTAGTAGTATTAAATTACTCTCTTTCATACTATATAGAGGTATTTATTTAATTTCTACTATAATTATAAATATTACTATATTTATAATTATATTTATATCTATAATTACAACTGCCGCGATTACTATTTTAAATATTATTATTAATATTATTAATATTATTCTAAGGCTTGTTATCGACCGCGTATATAATTAACTAGAAGAATTAATTTTTATGTATATATTTAAATTATATAAATTAAATATATATAAATAATAAGATTATATTTTCTATTAATATTATATACTAATTTATAATAAATAGCTGCAAGGCAGGCACATCCTAAATAATTATAAAAAATTATAAGAATTTAGTATGATTATTAATAATTTTAGTGCTATGAAGCTCATTAAAAATATTTATATAATATATAAGAAAGATCTCTTAACTACTTATACTATTATAGTAAATAAATACTTATTTATTATATAGATAGATAACTATAATAAAGTTAGAGGTCTTATATATTTTCTGGAAAAAAATATATGCTTCTAGTATAGAGTTATAATTTTAGAAATATACTATAGGACTAGCTTCGCATGTAGTATTAAAAACTATAAATATAAAATAATTTAATTACTTTTACTTCTTATAGTTAGAGTTATATATAATGAGTAAAGTATAATTATATTATTTAATCTACTTAATGCTATGTTCTAGTTCTTATTAAGTAAGTAAAGCACTATTATTATTAGCATAAATAACTAGTATATATATATTTTTATTTTCATCCTTAGGATAAAGAATTAATTTTTTTAAAAAAATATATTTATCCTAGAATAGTTCCCACGTGTCTGGATTATATAAGTATAAGTAATTTTATAGATTTTTTTACTATAATAACTAATTAATCTGGTTTTTAAGCTTAGAAATAGCTTTGGAGATATTGATATCGAATAGATCTTTAATTAATATTATTATAAGTGTTTAACCATACCGCTCACGTGGTAAGAGATCTGGTTAATTAATAAATATTAAATCTAGATATTAAGTTAATTAGATTATTATAGAGGCTTTCTTATCCGTAAAACTACGTATAATAGTGATTTAAGGTGTAAAAAACTTTAAAGAAAATACTATTTAATAAATAATATATAAAAATAATAAAAAAATAACAGAAAAAATAAATATTTTATGATTTATTGCTATAAAGACTTATAATTTATGATAGTAATATTAATAATATTAAGTATATATATTGCCTAGCTAACTACGCGAGGAGGAAGTGACTAGGTAGCTAGGTCCGAGATCACGTGATCTCCTTTCACAGAATCAATCGTTGCTTATAGCGGCAGGCCAATCGGACTTCATACTCTTAAGCGGCAATTATCATCTTAGGGTATCGCCCGACAGACTGCAAGCCACAACCTTAAGGCCTTTTACGAGGATATCTATAACCTATATTTCGAAGGTATATATATTCGAGATATCTTAGCTAGTGTCAATTTACAGCTTTAAGCGAATGGTTTCTTAATAGTTAGCGAGTGGGTCTTATATAGGCAGCTTGACTCCTAGGGCCTTAGCACACGGCATAAGGCTGTCCAATCTTAGAGGAGCTTATCGGCTGGGTTAAATATTACTTAATAAATTATCTCTAATATTGTCTATGGCTTTTACATATTCTAATAGTCCAATATTGCTATTAGAATTGGGGGATAGAGTTGATCGAGTGCCCACAAAACCCGACCCGAACCGGCCCCAACCGGAAAACCCGCAAAAAGCCCGCAAAGGTCATGTGGCCTAAAATATACAGTATATAGTATTATTATAAATAAATGTTATAAATATATATTAGTATTTTAGATAAAATCAAGAATCTCTATCAATTATAGAAATATAAAACTCTGTAATGTTACAGACCCTTGTCTAGCGTACCTCATCGAAGGCGGACATGCAAGGCAGAATATCATAGGATGACAAGAGCCGAAAACGACTACGGGGACCACCAAAGGATGGTTATAGTGAGTTTTAAGAATACATGATACCCAAAATAAAGAGATATAACTCAAGACGAACTAGCTGCTCAATATAAAATAGAGAAGATTGAGAGATAAGAAATTAGGGCAGGTAATAGCAGGTACTTTACATCTCAGATATGTTATATTCGGTCTCAAGTACGAGTCGAGTAAGCCGTCCTCGGATGGTGTTCATGACCCGTTTTCCTCTGATTCGTGTCAGGTGGATAGGTGTTGTCAACACCACTTTCTGGCCATCACAATGCTATGTCCACGACATTTTTACCAGTCAACCACGGAAAAACTATGCGGCCCGACTGGTAGCTCACCCCACGGATATTCTTTTGGCTTCCCCTCAACAGAATGAAAGGGTACTGACACCGGACACCACGAGAAGGTAGGAATCCATCGTCCTAATTGCCTCACGCAAGCAGTTACATGACGTCCTCGCCACGGGCGCATCTATTATGATGTTTGGGGGTGGCCAGATCGGCTGGACTTAACGTTAGCTCGATTTTCGTCAAGTCGCCCTACCGCTCGGTCCTTAGCTCCTCTTCCAAAGTCATCTTCCTCGTATAAGACAATTCATACTTTTGTCATACCCATGTCCTGTTTAACGTCTTCGAAATTGGGGATCCGCCTACAGCCACATTGCTTCTGCCCACCAGATGAGGGAGATGAATCTGGCTGAAACGGTTATACCAAACTGCGAGAAGAAACAGGAAAATGAACTCCCTCCGGGGGCATTACTTCATTTTTGTTATACCCCGGCGACACTGAATTCAGGTAATCTAAACATACATACATATATACTTGCATACTATTGGCTGCAGAGGCCTGTTTTGACGCGCCATGCTTGTTTGCTTTTCTCTAGCTGAAATTCGACGGTCGTGGCTCTTTCGAAAACTGAATGACATTTGACATAGGACCTCAGTTAATTTCGGTGGTTGAATGGTGAATAACCCACATCTGGCGGTTGGTGCGGCTTCCTTAAAGCTCAAGTGAGTCTCAAACAGGGAAGGTGGTTTAATCTCTTACACCTCTGGTGGTTTACCGAGTTCATTGACTACCAGAGCCCATGTCCTTACCTGGATTAGGCTCGGAACAAAAAGTCTACTCTCCGAAGAGGGGTGGGTGGGAAAGCAATGCTACCGACAACATTGTCCAAACAGGGGCGAGCCACGATCGAGACTCAGCAGCTGGTCGGGCACCGGAGTCTTTATCGGGCCGTGTTGACAATCGCGGGTTTCCTTCTGCAAACACCACATAGCAGGTTGCGCTCCCTACCACAGAGCTACATCCCACATCCTTCGAAGATGCCGGCAAATCTGAAAGCCCCGCAACTCGAACAGATTCAGCATATGATCGAGAACTGGTCGTTGAAGCGAGCTGAAATCGCCTTTGCCGCCGGTTGTAGCGAGCAAGCTGTAACACATATCCGTCAGAACCTGGAGGCGTTTGACAATGTCAGAGCTCCCCGGAACGGCGTCGGACGCCCTCGAAGTATGACCCACCGATGCTTGAAGCCGTGTTGGAACGCTTGGGGGGAAACCGACTCTCTACTGGGATGAATTAGTGGCGATTATATATGATGATTTTGGAAAGCGTGTAACCCAACAGGATATAAGCAGGAGACTTGCTTCTATTGGATGGTTGAACAAGGCAGTTCGGCAAAGAGCAAGAGAACAAGATTGCAGATTTACGAGACTTTTATCTGCATAGTCTATCTCCTTATTCGTCATACCAGCTGGTATACGTGTATGAGCCGGGCTGCGATAAGCGGATAGGATTTCGGTGAACTGGCTGGTCTCCTCTTGGTGTAACACCAATTCGGATCTCTAAATTCCACCGTGATCAATATTATCAAATAGTGAATACAGTGTGTGGGTCCTCATCATACGTCTCCTCTTCAACCCAGTCTCCGTACTGTAGGAGCGGAAGTTTATCTGTGTGGGAGGCGCGTGGTTGAGGGGCGGGCCACTCAAAGGGGGACGGGGAGTTGGCGTTGATAAGGCTAAGACTTCACGGCGAGGAGGTACGGCTGAAATTTCCGGGAGTGGGTGCATACCATGGCGACTCATCGCATCGCCACGATCCGTTTCGGTATGTGTCGTCATCGTTTCTGGGGCATAAGCTCGAGCTCATCTCCTTAGTGATTGAGACTCCTGGGGTTAGCAATATCGGGTCAAAACTCGCACACTACGCTGCCTCAGCAGCTGTTGTTCGCCGGCGAACAACGGTTAGCAATCAACAGCTGCAGGCGGAGAGGACTATGAAATGACCGTCTTATTTTGTCACATCAAACAACTGAAAATGTACTGTGCGTTTATTGACTGCATGAGTTACAACAAGGCAGAGATACGTGGTTGCTAGAAAGGGGAAGTTGATGCCACATGGCCCGTCTGCGAGGGGCCAGGAACAGGCGTTCCTGGCTCCCTGAGATCTACGGTGCCTGGGCGGGAGGTTCCATGTACTTCCATGGGTATCTCCCATGGTTGACCGTTGTTGTGGTGGGGTTGTGCAAATTAATAAGCCATTAGTATACGGGCATAGTTCAATACCGTCTTATCAGCATTTCATGTATGGTAGTGTACAAGTTTTCCGGCCACCCTTATTTGCAAACGGGTGGCTCTCTATAACTCCCCCGCTAGACTCTTGGCAGTGGGGCGCGAAAACAATTGTTGTGTGTTTCAAGGTCAGTGGAATTTCGAGACCGACTGTATTCTTGTGGGATTCATTACCATTACGAATAATTCGTGGGATACTGTTCGGAGCACGGAAAGTTAGCTTTGTTCATAGACAAAAGATAGTTAACCAGTTAACCAACTAATCCAGTGTTCATGTAAGTAAGCCAACAAGCACAATTCGCTAAGAGATGGTTAGCGGGTGACGCGTAGTAAGCTAAGCCTATTATGGTCATGCGGTGGCTTCAGTGGGGACGCGACGGCACCTGCCTGGGAAGTATATTTACTGGGGTAAAGATAATGGGAGACATACCTGACTGGAGAACCTAGAATTCTCCTGATATATATAGTACTATAGGTATAGTGGGCATTGCGATTATTGGGTAATAGTGGATGTTAAAAAATAGTATTTATCTAATGAGACGGCCATTCAACACAGCAAAATGAGGTCATATTGGTGCTAACTACTCTAGAACTTTAAGCGTAAGGAGGAAAAAAGGAAAATAAGAAATATTATAGATACTTACTTGAAGAAAATAATAGTAAAATAAATAAAATAAATATAATCACATAATCTTGAATAAAGCTTTAAATAAAACTACTATTATATCACTCCTCTATTTAGACCTGACTATTTTTAGTCAGGGGGATGTTATCATTATTATAATTTATAATAAATTTATTATTTTCTATAGCTGTGATCCATATAGGGAGTTATTTAAATAATTTAAAACAGTCTAGATAATAAATATAAAAATTATATAAATAAAAAGATATATTTTTAAAATTACTAGTGGGATACTACTCGTGGTTATTTTTATTAGAATCTATTTATTTAACATGGTATTACACAGTTTCTGTCTATAAATAATTCTTTAAGATCTATTTTACTTCCCACTCGATATGGTTATTAATCTCAATTGAAAAAACTTAATCTAAGATTTATCTAAGCAGCGGCTCTAAAATACTATAAAAATAGAGTTTATCAGGATGAAAGACAGGATAGACTTGTATACTATTAAATAATTAAACTCAGAATACGTAACTAATTTTCTTAGTAATAGTTATTAAACTATACTAGTTTTTTAATAACTTCTAGGATGATTATCCCCAGTGCTAGTTTCTAATATTTATATAAATTTTATCTCCAATATTAAAATTTACGGGTTAACGCCGTCAGTTGGCTGCATGGATCTGAACTTATTAAATAATCTATATATTTTTTTTTACTAGTTCTTATATTTATTTTATACAGTAGGCTAGGGCTCGGGTTTATTATTAATTAATAATATTTATAATAGAGATCTAGAGAGATGTCCAGTTAAAGGAAATACGGAACTCATATTCTTACTTAATTATAAAGAGTAATAATTCCGTGGACTTCTAGAACAGGACTATAAAAATAAAATTAATTAATAATAAAAGTTCCGACTAATTATTTTAATAATAATTTATAAAAGAGATAAGTTTTTATACTATATACTGGTTCATGATTTTAGTCTACCCATTAGTTTAAGAATAGTATATTGTTAAAAGCTTAAGTTTTATCTATAATATATAATATAACTTATTCTAGAATTTTAATATAAATTATTCTTCTTAGTCTGATATAATTATATCTGGAGATTCTAACTAAAAATATATATATTCTAGAAAGAGCTAAGCCATATTTTATGTGGATACAGTCTTTATATATAATATTAAAATAACTTATTTATTTAATTAATCTATTATAATAAATATAGTATCAAAACTATAACAGTTCTTTAGAAATATTTAAAAGTCTATTAATAAATATTATTCCAGGTGGTCTGGGATTGGTAAAGATTATAAAAATTTTAAAGAAAAATTTTATTTTATATTTTTCTACTTACAGATTAGACAGTTATCTAGATAATAATATATATCTTAATTCTAGGTATTCTAGTAGTATCAGTATTTTATAAGATCTAGTATCTTTGTTTAGCCTGAGTGAGTGAATAATAGTTAATAATAGATTTTATCTAGTAGTTAGATATATAAGTTTCTATTATCTAGGACTACTAATAGATTATTAAAAAATAAAAATTTATTTTCTAGAATATATTTTCTTTTATTATAATAGGCTCTTTCCTGGTAAGATACTAGAAAGAGATAGTTTTAATTAATTATTAAAAATTAATCTATAATTTATAAGTATTTCTGTACAGGGGTAAAGACTATTAATAATTTAAAGACTAGTAAATAAGAATATACTCTATTCTCTAAGTATTCTAGGAATAATAAGATTTATTTATAATATTATATTAGGATTTACTCGCTATTATTCTTACAGATTAGTATATTTACTAAGGTATTATATTTTTTAGGATGGAATTAAATTAAAAAATAATATTAAAAAAAAAATTTAGTCCACCACGCCTGATGGATATTTAATTTCTTAATAGTCATGAAATACTCTAAGGCTTAATAATTAATTAAAATACTAAAATAATTTATATACTAGAGTTTTTTTAACTTTAGTTATTATTTTTCTAAAATATAAATAATCGCCAGTAACTCTTTATTATGAATATTATAATTATATTCTACAGAAAATATAGTCTTAGAATAATAGATTACTAGATACTAAGCTTTATTTACTAGCTATAAAAGTATTTTTATAATAATTTTATTAGCAGCATCCGTCTTAACATGAGTAGGAAATGTAAGATTATAATAAACTAAAATAGAAATTAAAATTAATATTTCCTTAAATATTTTAAAAGTTTTAATATAAATATGATTCTAATTAAAGATAATATTCTTTCAGATTAGTCATGTCAGGGATTATACTATTCTATTATAGATTCTGATAAATCTTTAGTAGAAGTTATAAAAGTCTAAAAATAATTAAATTTCCTGTATAGTTGTTGGGATTACTTACTTAATAATAATAATAATTTTTATTAAATCTATCTAAATATTATTAGTAGTAATAATAAACTCTAAGAATTTAGTCTTTATAATATGGAACTTATACTTATGAATAATAATCTATAAGCCTGTAGCTTATAATTTCTTAAGTACTAAATATATATATAATTTATACTCAGCTATATTATTATTGTAAATTAATATATTATTAATATAAATTATAATAAACTTATCCAAGTACTCTATTAAGATTTTATTAATAAGCCGTTGGAAGGCAGTGGATCTATTAATAAGTTTAAATAAAAAGATTTAATATTTAAACAGGCTATATTATATTTTAAAAGTTATAAGATTTTTTAAGATAGGGTCTATTTTAATCTAGTGGAAGTTTTAATATATATTAAATTTAGTAAAGATTTTTATATTATACAAATAGTCTATTATTTTATTAATAAGAGATAGGGAGTACGGGTTTTTTTTAATTAAAGTATTTAATTTTTAATAATCTATATAAAAATAGAGGCCTTCTCTGGGCTTTCAGACTATTAGAATAAAAGATATAAAAAATATAGAACTTAATATAATAAATCTTTTATCTAAATTTTCTATAATATAATTATGGGAGGCCTGCAGCTCTTCTACTATTATTTTATAAAAAAAAATAGTACTTAGAGGATTTTCATCCTCTAATTAAATCTTATAGTTGTAATATTGGGATGGAGATAATATATTAAATTTTTTTTTAAAAAAAATATCTATTAAATTATAATATTACTTAGAAAGGATATTTTTAATCTTATTCTTCTTACTTGTATGTGGAACTTTTAGTTTTTTTATAAAAATTTTTTTAATAGTATTAAGTAAAATAACAAAGATCTCTATCTCTAAGTTTTTTAAATATTATTAGAAGCCGGCTACTCCAATGAAAGCTATTTCTTTATAAGAAAGTTTAATTGGGATAGACTTTAGTTCAGACTTCAAGATTCTGGAAGAAAGGCAGTACTAGTAATTTTCTTTAACTAGATTATATTTTATCTTTATTAGAGCCTCACACGGGCTGCTTTAGTTAATATAAGAAAAAATTAATAATAATTATAGAGGTTTTAATTATTTATTTTCTAATTATATTCTATAATTCCTCTAGATTATATTTTATTAATATTTATAATCCATTGGAGATTACTCTAGAATAGTCCGGAGAATACTTATAAAGAATCTAACTTTTATTTTATTCTTTAATATTAGTTAATTTAATTAGATTAGTTAATAATTCCAGCAATCCAGTAAGATATTATATTTAATAAATTATATTTTTTTAATAATAGTATCATGCCTTCCTAGGTCCAATATAAGAAAAAAAATATTCGGGAATTAGTAGTTATTGACTATAAAATTTAATTAAATTATATATATTAAATTAGTAGTCTGTTTTTTGTTAAAGCCTATAATAAGAATTGTCTTTTTTAAAGATAGTATTAAGATTTTAAAGTATTAGACTAACTTAATAGTAAACTAAATATTTATTATTAAGTAAGTATTAGCTCCGGAATCAGCAAGCATATAAATAAAAATAGTAATACTATTTTTAAAAAATAGAGTAGTAATTATAAAACTATTATTATTATTTTTTAGTAGATTTTATAGATCTACTATACTTACTTAAGCTTTTAATTTATTTAAAATAAAAACTTTTCCTAAATATTATTTTTTACTGACTCGGGTTTCTCCGTGGGAGTTTTTAGAATCTTTATTTATATAATCTTTTTCTTAAGATATTCTCTATTTTTATAACCGGGCTCCTTGTAGTAAAAATATTTTTTATTTTTTATTAATATTTTCTTAGTTTTTAATTCCATACTAGAAACTTAAATTAGAGATTTAGAGGAAGTGCTTGTAGCATTTAAAATAATAATAGAAAAATAAAGTATATAAGATTCTGTATAACCTCCAACTACTATAAAGTTATTTTTAATATATTTTTTAATTTATTTTTTAATTATATCTGTAGAGTTAGTACATTACTTCATAAATTTTTTAAAATCTTTATTATTATAGTTATACATGGTATTAGGGTTTATTAGGGTTATTAGGGTTTAGGGTTTTTTAGGGTTTATTAGGGTTTA